TTGACTCAGCACTGGTGTACAGAGAAGCTGAGCCTTCTGTGGTGACCCAAGGACAACAGAGCAGATAAAACCAAGGTGGGTCTTGGAATGCAGGAACAGAAAAACCAGAACCTTATCATCCTTCCTTCTCCCATGTTGTAACTATTAATGGATTTCGGGTCCTCCTGAGCAGGATAACCTGTCTCCCCTCCTACCCCATAGGGAGAAGGCATTTGCTTTACTCTTCCCCCCCACCCAGTATATGTGACTCATCCAGTCAGCAAATGACCTGCAAGACCCCTATCCCACTCCTTGTACTCTGGGTATAAAAGTAGACTAAGGACCCCTGTTTAACATTAGTTCTCTCTTGAGCTGGCCCGCTGTTCTAACAGTGTCTCCCACTCTAATAAACCTTATTTCCCTCTCATTCTGTCTCATGTCTGGAAATTCTTTTCCAACCTGTGTCCGGACCATGGCACCTTCTGCATCATAAGTGAAGGAGAAGTGAGAAGCTGGGATACATCTGTAAGATGGAACGCTACTCAGCAATAAAGGAGAACAAGCTCTTGGCAATACAACTTGAATGATTCCCCAAATCATTATGCTAAGTGAATGAAGTCAGTCTCAAAAGGGACTTTGTTTTCCTTATCTTTAGATTCTCAGTGTCTAGTATAAAACCTACCAGCCAGTGCAAACAACCAATCAACATCAATAAATAGATGAATAGGCACAAACTTTCAAAACTCTTGAGAGAAGGAAATAAGCTTCATTCTTCTATTATATTAATCACAGCGCATAGTATTAATCACAATGCATAGTATGAAACTGTCTGCCTTCTACCCTGGGAAGCAATGGGCAATACTGCTGTCAGGATATGTCACATGGGCTCCTCTTCTCTGTGATGCTCAAGAGCAGAACCAGTTTTACATTTTTAGGGGAAATTTAAGGATTGGAATTTGAGGATTTTGGAGGCAGTTCTTCCTGGGTTACTAGATCATTTTTGCAAAAGTCCCAATTGTCTTATCTCGGGCAAGTTATTTAAGCTTTCTATATTTTGATATCCCCCTCTATGATAGAAGGTAAATGATCATAAATAAATAATTCCTGGAGAATTGGGAGAATTAGAAAAGGCACTTAAAGTACTCAGGACAGTGTCGGGCACACAGGAAGCACCTGGAAGTTGATAGCTGTGATGATCACCTGTTCATTTTACAGAGGAGGGAGCAGAAATCCAGATGTGGTTAAGGACTTGCCAGAGGTTACAGTAAGAGTGGCAGAATCAACTGTGTTTGTGCAAGTCACAACTGCTTTAAGCCTCTGTCACCTGAACTGCAAAATGAGGGGATTGGACAACGTCTTCTCTAGAGAGCTTCCAGTTCTACAGTTCTCATTCTACTAATTGGCACCCTAGAACTTAAAGAACTAATTTACCTGCCTGAATGGTCTAGTGGTTCCCCCTACATTCTTCAATTTGAGCTTGAATTTGGCAATAAGGAGTTCATGATCTGAGCCACAGTCAGCTCCCGGTCTTGTTTTTGCTGGCTCTATAAAGCTTCTCCATCTTTGGCTGCAAAGAATATAATCAATCTGATTTCAGTATTGACCATCTGGTGATGTCCATGTATAGAGTCTTCTCTTGTGTTGTTGGAAGAGGGTGTTTGCTATGAACAGTGTGTTCTCTTGGGAAAACTCTGTTAGCCTTTGACCTGTTTCATTTTGTACTCCAAGGCCAAATTAGCCTGTTACTCCAGGTATCTTTTGACGTCCTACTTTTGCATTCCAGTCCCCTACAATGAAAAGGACATCTTTTTTTGGGTGTTAGTTCTAGAAGGTCCTGGAGGTCTTCAGAGAACCTTTCAACTTCAGCTTCTTCAGTGTTACTGGTCGGGGCATAGACTTGGATTACTGTGGTATTGAATTGTTTGCCTTGGAAACAGAGATCATTCTGTTGTTTTTGAGATGGCATCCAAGTACTGCATTTTAGACTCTTTTTTTGA